CCCTGCCCCCAGGCATACGTTTCTTTGTAAAAATTGGCAAGTTTACGGTCCCATATTTGATATTTCTATGAGTTTGTATTAAACGGATTCTTAGAAAACTTGTGGAACGGAATGGTTAAAAATCTAGCCACATGTCACGCCTAAAATACATGCCCTCTTGTTTATATAATCAGTGGAATGACGCGCCAAAATTCTAATTCCACTCGCAGAGGTTCGAACGTTCGTTATATAAAATCCGCTGTGCGAAGTGAGTGCAGGCTCAAAGTCGAATGGATTGCTTTCCGCCGTGGCCGGTAACCCTTTGCCTCCACTTGCATTACTCAGCGAATCCTTCCCAGCTGAAAAAAACCCCTTTGAGCCTCTGCGGAGGTGAGAAACTGTATCATAGCGTATCTATAGAATGTGTTCACGTGACGTCATCAAATTCTCAAATCCAAAACTAGTGAACCACTAAAGGTTTTATCCTCATCAGGCATAAGAGGTACTAAATTTATATCAGGTTACAACTTTCCAGCTCAATAGCGTCCTTCGTTTGGAAACCAGCGCATTTTGAATTTCGGAGTTACGGCGGTGCGTGACATGAAGCTAAGATCGCGTTTGTCGAAAAATATACACTTATCTCGTGATTTTTAGCCATTTTAGGAGTTAAAGTATTAGGAAAAACATTTTATGGGCTGGATCTTATGAGATTGCGTCATCTTCCGTAAACTCGAGTAATGTCTTGACCAGACAAATCAAATCTTTATAATCCTCAAACCACTTGAATCGATCCTTCGTGTCCAAGTAATTGAGTCGACTAGCCAAAGATGATTAATTTTCGTTTGCAGGAGACATTTTAGCAAATCGAAAACCGACTAAAACACAAAATAAAATACGTGTGAACTCTCTGAGAGTAGACAAGGGAAAAGCACTTGATCTCCAAAGATTACAGAAGAAATAAGTTATAACCGTCATGCTCCGATATCCATTTTCTGTAATCTTAATAGTTCTAAATCTAACGAATGTTGCATGTTATATATAGCGACCGTGGCGGAAGTAGTATGTATCAGGTGAATAGCCTGCTTGGTTCCACATGAACTGATAACAACTGATTTAAAGAGAAATGGTTGCGGAACCGATTTAATGAGATGCGTTATCATTATTAGGTCATTCAAGAGAACGGTCACATACTTGTCGTTGTACACCTTAGATCTAGATGTCATGAATTTCCTTTTGGATATGCGAATCACATACCCTGGTATTCGATAACAGTAAATTGTATTTTATAATCAAGATCTGGATGTCATGAATTTCCTTTTGGGTATGTGAATCCCACACAGATGATCTCTAACTAATGAATAACAAGAGTTTTTCTTAAATGTGTTCCAGGTTCCTTCTGATAAGTAAGTTAAGTAAAACTTTATTTAGCCACCAGCCTTCGTGATAATCCTAGTAACATATAACGAATATTTAACTCACTCCTAAATATTTATTTTGTTTACGGTGTTTATTTATGATGCATTTCTCCTTTGCGCGAGACCTCCTGCGATTTTTTTTCTCTTTGGACTCATTGAAGAACGCCGTCTGATTATTGGCTTCATTAGGCGCCTAGAAAGCTTCGGCCTGGTCATCCACACTACGTACACCGGGGGAAATTAAAAACGCAACAATCACCGGTCGTTTTATATTTTTGTTTGAAGAAATCTCGGCCAGGGAAATCACGTGGTTCGCTGATCCTATCGTGTTCAAAAAGGTCCGTTTTAAAATGTTTTCCGTCCGCAAGAAAACTCAAAGCGGCGGCGTTTTACAAATTCCTCCGATTTGAAGAGTGTTTACGAAAAGCTCCGTTTTCGTGTCGGACCGTAGGCCTAACCGTAAAAATAAAGCTCTATGACGGTTTTTAAATTCCTCCGGCGTAGTGTACATGTGAACAGAGTCTGGAGCAAACCACGACGTTAACGAGCACCACCAAACAAAAGGTTTAATGAGCAAAACAAAGGCTGTACAAGCGTCTTCAGAAAACCTTTGCACATTTCATACGCGTGCTCTGCAAAACAGCAACGCAAAATGACCGCGAACGCGAACGATGAGTCGAAGTGCTAACTTTTCATATTTCCATTTAGAATTGAACGCTGTCATTACATATTTAGCCCGAGCGAGGTTTTAGAGCCATAGACATCCTGGACAAATTCAATTTTACAAGGCGTTGTCCTCGGCGTCGCCGTCGTCATTGTTAAGATCCCTATATTTTCATCTCGAATGCTGGAAGGTCGATACACTTGTTTAACGTGGGGTCTGTCATCCTAGGTGGCTGCTTTGTGCTTTGCTCATGTTTCATCCCAAGACCAGTCGAACGCAGATGCGAGTATCGTGTAAAAAATCGTAAAAAAATCGCATAAATTGCAGATCTTTGCCAAGGTTCTTTTTAATTCAGCGATTAAGTTGTCGAGCGTTTCGGTAGGAAGCTCTTCCCTCCTGCTGAAACAATCTCGTTAACGTTACTTCGCCGATGCAATACCTTTTCATCTTCCCCATTACTACACGGCAGTCGTTTGCGTCTTCTTCTTCAGTATAACTTAAGGCTTTGAACACTTAAAGGCCATCGTCATCAATAACGTCCTTGAACATGGCGAGTTGACACTCGGGGCTTTCCCACCCCAAACCAAGTAATTATTACAGTATTTCTCTTTCCATAGCCTCCAGTCATTCTCGGGGATCTCGCTACTTAATTGACTTCTAATCTAAATGTTGCGGAGACAATGATATCTGGTGGAATAACATTGAAAATTGCGATGCTTTAGGCGACGAGGCACCGAAAGTTTTTTTCGATTGTAGGTATTCGTCGACGACGTATACCGTCTACGAATGCCTACAATCGAAAAATATTAGCTGGCAAAGAGAACCTTAAACGAAGCTCATCAATGCAATCAAGGCTTAATCTGGCTACTGTAACTCAAGAAACACCAGGTGAACGCGTACTTTAATATAAAACTGTACGTATAGCATAAATTACAAAGCCGTTACAGAACATAAGCGTGCATATAAAGAATGTTTGGCAAATTAGCATATTATAAGCTTAAATTAAGGTATGTCCGCCATTTTGAATAATCAAATCCAGCCGATGTCAGAAACTCGTTTGTCCGGTTTGGCTATGACGTCAGTACTTTCTCATTGGCTCACAGCCGAGCCTTTTGTTCTTTCACTTTATAAGTGCGACACCACCCGGATGGTCGGGCGGCCAGTTAACTCCACAGCAATATACACATCTCTCTTAATCTCTCTAAACAATACCTTCTGCATATATAATCAAGTATTCTTCCTCAACCATCCCCCCAATATCTCACTAATCCCCTACATATACCTACACAGCTATACATCTCATCAATCCCCTACATATACCTACACAGCCTACATCTCATTAATCCCTCACATATGCCTACACAGCCTACATCTCATTAATCCCCTTCATATACTTACACATCCTACATTTCATTACATTTCATCAATTCCCCACATATACCTACACAGCCTACATCTCATCAATCCCCTACATATACCTACACAGCCTACATCTCATTAATTTCCTACATATGCCTACCCAGCTATACATCTCATCAATCCTCTACATATACCTACACAGCTTACATCTCATCAATCCCCCACATATACCTACACAACCCACATCTCATTAATCCCCTACATATGCCTACCCAGCTATACATCTCATCAATCCCCTACATATACTTTCACAGCCTATATCTCATTATGGTCGAAGCAGTGTAATGTAAAAACAGAACACATACCCAAATCAATGATAAACAGTGTACAAAACAGTTTTGAAAGGAAACTGTAGGACGGAAAAAAGTAATTAACAGTTTAAATCTAGGGGCAGAAATATTTAAAGGACAACAAATCATAGTCATGAAAGCAATTTCCAGCTAAATATTTAACCTGTATCACTTCTTTATATATGAAATAACGTTTTAGAAAGTGTATCTCTCAGTCATTATTTCAGAACTGAACCCTATTATAAAGGGAGAGCATGAGTTTAAGGTGCCTATGAAGTAAAAAATAATTGCTGCTTATTTGAAAGGCCTTTCAAAGTATAGAAGAATGGCGTTTTCTTTTTTTGGAATATCTTTTTGCGTTTTAGAGATATTCACGTTTTTATATTATGCAAATGAAGAAAGTGATGACGTCATAGGTGGTTCCACTAAAACAGCACAACACTCAATCGAAAATAACTCTAGAAGTATTAAAGCAGTGTTCTTCAAACTTGGCATCAGTAACGTTCATCACAAAGCAAACAGATTGACACCTACTGTGTTGTTGCCATGGCAACACTCTTGGCTCCAGTCTCTTTCTATGAAAAACCAAATATCCCCATTTCCAACCTTTTAAAGTGGGACAGAGGGTCTCGCTCGGAACACACATGGTTCCCATATTGTCTGTTCACATGGTTCCCATATTGTCTTAACTCTCCCCATCAGATTGTTGGGAGTGGATGATCCTTGTTTACGATAAAATCTGGGAATTTTATTCTTAATTAAAACATAACCAGCGGCATAACTGTTGTCATGGCAACGGCAAGACGGGTGTCATTATGTTTCTTTTGTGATGTGCATTTCTGGTACCAGGTTTAAAGAACACTGCTTTAATATTTCTAGAGTTATTCGCGATTGATCGTTGTGTTGTTTTAGTAAAACCAACTATGACGTCATCACCTTCGTTATCAAAAACCTAAATATCTCTAAAACGAAAAAAGATATTCCAAAAAGGAAAACGCCATTCTTCTTTACTTTGAAAAGCCTTTCAAATAAGCAGCAATTACTTTTTACTTCATCGGCACTTTAACTCCCGCCGAGGACTCGGGTTTTTTCCTTGTCCAACGCCTCTGACAGTTGGACAAAATTTACATCTTTCACAGTTCTCAAAAACCTGTTAAAAATCCTATCGAATTTGCAAGAGCAAGTGTCAATCGTTAACCATCCAATAAATGAGAAAATCTTACAGTAAAATTTAAACTGCAAATACGCGGGATTCTGCTATCACAAGGCAATAAATCTTAAGTAGTTTGTGGTGTATGTACACAACGTTTAGTTGAAGAAACCCCTCTGAACTACCTTCGATCCCTCTCACGTGACCATTAGTGCCACCTCCTCATAGTCGGCACAAATAAAGCCTTTTTATATCCCTGGCCGTGATAAGACTATGATCTCTGTCATGCAGGGCCTGTTCGTGGGCAAATGAAACGAATCTTTTCCCAGGACTATTTTGACCATTTTTCGGGCACCACGCAATTTTAATGATAGGCCCGGATTTACTAACTGATGCAGCAGTTACTGGCATGCTTATTGTATTTCAGGGAACAGCTTCGCTGCTCGTTCCGCGCCACAAAACCCTCCGAATTGGGCGAAACCGCCAGCTACGCGGGCTACTCAAACAGGGTCTGCCTTAGCTACCTGTCGAGCTGTCGCGCTTCCGAATGAGAGACAAAAACTAAAACATTACATGGAGGTGTCTTGGAGTTCAACGACCGCTGACTACTTCTTGTTATGTAGCGGGCGCATCTCATGTTACACGCTAAAGACGCGAAGGCAGACGAAAATCAAGCAGTCAACTGTGAGAATCGATGAGGCTGTTAAGAAAATCAATAGGCTATGCAACACTCGGAGTCGGGTTAGCCGGTGTAACGGTTTCTCTTGTGTATGGACCAGAAGAGTTAAAACGTAAAGTAACCTCTAATGGTTTGGTACGCGTTGCAAGGGCCGCTCGCACGGTAAGCGCGTATATGTAGGCGGATTGTACTGAGTTGACTGCTAGAGCTAACTGCATGTTTCAGTTCAGTGTTGTGGATAAAATGCAGTTGTACAGTTCTATTCAACTGGCTTGTCGCACGCAGAATCTATTCTTACCAGATAGGCGGCGTGGACTTCTTTGCGGATTACGTAACGGCACATGTATACACAGTGATCTCCTGATCCCTTGGTTCCCAGGCGAAGTTATGGAGATTCACTTGGTAATAGATTCAGTTATATTTTATTTTTAATCACCCTGCAAGACAGAGGCTCTTATCTCTTTCTGCTCGGTGAGAAAGAGAAGAGAACCTGTGCCTCGCAGGGTTATTTATAATCCCGATACAATGATGACTTCCGGAATCTCTTTGTCTTTAAGGACATTTTGTTAATTAATGGTAATAGGACTGAGTGGAGTCCAATTCGGTCTGTAATCATACGAGTGATTAACAAACGATTAAACGTCGTTATGAATGCTGAAAAACACAGCAGTTTACTCAACAAAGTGCACCGCAACAGCGCGCGCAAAATGACGCGTACTGTCCAATTACAAGCATGACGCATACACTGTCCAATTAATGCTCAAATCGGGCTGCTGATAGCCAATCACGTTCGAGAATTTTGCTATAGTTTTGATTAATACTATTATTCCATGCTAAGGTTGTTTTCATTAGTTATGACTACAAAAGAACTCTCTGGGGAATTGACAGGAACTCTTCTGAATATTCAAAACTCAAATCTCAGGTGAGCATACTAATATTGTAGACTGGTATAGTTTGTGACACATAACTCTATTTGGATGTAACCAAATGTAACATCAGCTATTTCAAATAAAATGTACATCTTGATATTTTGCTGCCCTTTTGCCAGCTGACACTTAACCAGTGAAAGCCCTTCTTTCTCTGACAATGGCTAATGCAGTCCAATGGACAGTTGAGTCCTTAGCTAGTGGGCAGCTTAGTCAGTTTTGTGTACCGTTATTCACTGGACAGTGATGGTCTTGTAATGTCTTTCCTTGTAAATCTTTGTTTTGGGTGAAGTAAGCAGCAATCACAAGAACTATCAGCTAGAAAGTGGAGTGATAACAGTGGAAACAAGTATCTTAAGTCCAAAAAATGATTTTCAAGAAGTCATTCTTTACAGTGAGAGCCACATTATTTTTCATTTATTCTTTCTCTTCCCACATATCAGGTTCACTTGAGGTCTGCTTCGAGTTTGCGTGACCTGTGTTGTGTCAATGGAGGGGCCTATATTAAAGTGGGCCAATATGTGGGGTCCTTGGACTATCTGTTGCCCTCTGAATATGTACAGACCATGAAGGTCCTACACAGTGATGCGCCTCAGAGCCCACTTGGTGATATTCACCATGTCATTGAGGAAGAGCTGCATTGTAAAGTGAATGAGGTGTTTGTCAGTTTTGAGGAGAAGCCTATTGGAGCTGCATCTCTTGCACAAGTTCACAGGGCAACCTTACAGGATGGTAGAGTTGTGGCTGTTAAGGTGCAACATAGAGATGTGCAAAAGCATGCTGCTGTTGACATGGCAACACTTGAGGTAAGCATAAAAAATATTGTGTTAATTAAAAGTACATTTCTGTTTCATGCAGAAATTTTATTTCCCAAGTAGATTTCCTTTACTGACATGCCATGATATTCTGTCAATAAAGTATTGTTCTCATCAGTTAATTCAGTCTGATCATTAATTCAAGTAGATTTTCTTTCAGAAAAGTGATTGGTCCTGCATATTGTTGCATGCCAGACTATCTCATGGTCTGGTAACTTTGTGCCCCAATGTGTTGGTTTTCTAAGTGCCTTAGCCAATCAGAATGCTAAACATCACAATGACTGAGTGCACAATTATGCAATTTATCAACACATCAGCTGCTTTAATCTAGATGCACTTATAAGTCAAGGTCAGAGAGAGCAGAGGACGCCTGAGCGTGGAGCATGATCAAGCGAGAACCAGAGATGAGAAACAAATCACTTTGAAGAAGACTCTTCCTTCTCCTGGAGTAACTAGACTGTAGATTTGCTCAACAAATGAGAAACCAAAAGAAAAGTAGTTGAGGTAATTTATTATTAACTTCATTTGAATGGACTCTTGCAGATCCTAGCTGTAGCAGTGTCGTGGTTGTTTCCAGAGTTCAAATTCAAGTGGCTTGTGGATGAATCAAAGAAACATCTTCCTCTTGAACTAGATTTTGAACATGAAGGAAGGAATGCTGAGAAGATTATGCACTTTTTAAAGAAGTTTCCATTTGTTAAGGTGGAACTACATATTGTTAAGATTTTGTAACATGTTAAGTTCAATTGATAAATGAAGACTGTGTTCTCTTGGTACCAAACCTATCAATCTGAAACAGGTTTTTGGTTATGTTACCCATTAATAGAATTCTGTAGAAAGTACATGGATCCTCTGTTCTTCTTTCAAGATTCCAGAGATTTACTGGCAATATTCAACGAAGCGTGTGTTAACAATGGAATTCTGCGAGGGAGGCAAGGTTGACGATCTACCATACATGAAGAACCACAAGATATCATGTGATGAGGCAAGTCAAAACTACTTGATACCCACTTGTGCTAATATGGTTGATGTCATGTCATCTGTCTCTGTTTTAGCTCATTTTGAAGACTTGGTGATAAATCACAGCATAATGACAATCAAAAACTACAGAGATCTGTTTAATATCTCTGATCGAGTTTTTCCATTACACCTAACTTGGATTGATTAGGACAATTCTATGTTCAGCCTTGGCCTTTCTTAAAATTAGTGAGAATTTTTGTGGCAGAGTACTGTAAGTACAAGGTGCAAGATCATGGAGACTGAATGCACTTTGACTTGTTCTTCCTATTTTGTGAATAATTTGCCCTTCTGTATCACGTCATGCACTCTACTATGCAGGCTATACTAGACAGATATAGAGCTTTGTTATCAGTGTGGAATGTTTCAGCTTCACACTCAGCCAACTCTCTCGCGGAGAATAGAGTTGGGTGTTCAACAAAAGACATTTGTTAACTCTAACTTTTGATATGGTTGGATTTCTCAGGTTGCTCACAAGCTTGGCCTTCTTTATAGTGAGATGATCTTTGTTAATGGATATGTACACTGTGATCCTCATCCAGGCAACATTCTTGTCCAGCGTAATCCCCAGAATGGGGTGGAGATTGTATTCTTAGACCATGGACTGTATCAAGTATGTATTCTAAGATATAATATTTGTTACATCATAGACCCATTAAGTAAGTAAATGGAAACTTGTGAATCTTTATGACAATGTGATAAAACCCTGGCCAGGGGATAACCTTTGATTTGCTTGCATCCCATTCAGGGGAGGGGGTGGGGGAAGGGGTACTAAGTGGCAATACCACTTGACACTTCATGGCTCCTTCAGTTCCTTAGATTTGATGCAAACTTCTTACCAGCTGATAGTAAAACTTGTGATTATTATTGTGTGGGATTTCCATAGCAACATTTTCTGTTTTGTTCTGCAGTCTTTCCCCAGCTTGCTACTTATAGTTTCATGGGATTCACTATTCATCTAAGATATTCCTTGTCTTACTCAATGTAGACATTATCCAGTGATTTTCGCATGAACTACTGTAAGATGTGGCAGTCGCTGATACGATCAGACCTGGAGGGTATAAAGCAGAGCAGTAAGGCCTTAGGCGTGGAAGAGATGTATGGTTTATTGGCCTGTATACTGACAGCCAGATCATGGGAAGTCATAACTACTGGTGGAATCGACCAAGGACCTGTCACTGATGATGAGGTATAGAGGAGTTAGTGATATAACTTGTTATGATGCTTTTATGATGCATTAAGAAATTGTTTATGAGCTCGTCAAGAGATTGAAAGACTTACACAATATTTCTTATCAATAAGAGGAAACATTTTTTACCGAATCAAGGGGAAGAACAAATTAAACTAGTTGTGACTGTTTTTAGTTGCCATTTCCCGCGCTTGGCGCTTGACACCAGTTCCGATTGGACGTGCCATATGTCATTAGGAAAATATAGTTGTCTGCATGCAATTAAGATATAAACATAATTATAATAAAAGTTAGAAAATAGGAGACCAGTTGTTTAATCTCCTAACCTTCTTATGTTAGAGCTGTTTGTATTTTTGTGATGAAAATGCAGATGCAGAGCAGTCTCGATGACGAATCACAAGAAACGTGAAGAACACAATTAACCTATGAGAAAAGCCAAGAAAATGCACGTAACTGGTGCGCTGGAAAACATGTCATGATTGGTTGAGTAAATGACGCGCGTTTTCTAAACCAATCACAGAGCGTAGTATCGCAATGCCTAAAACAACTCTGGGTCACTTTTGACCCTCAAAATGAAAATTGCTCTGTTGTGATAAAATTAGAATCTAATCGCTGTTTAATTCTCTTCCAACAGGCGGAGGAAATCAGGACAAGTGCAGCAACATACGTAACAGAGATAACGGAACTGCTTAACCGAGTACCCAGACAGCTACTACTGCTTCTAAAAACAAACGATTTGTTACGGAGTATCGATTATAGACTCAACACGAGCGATACTTCCCGATCCTTTATAACCATGTCGCGGTGCTGCATACGCGCTCTCACCAAGCAACGGCTGAAAACCTGCGACGGTTGGAGGGACTGGTTCCGAATTCAAACTGATTCTACTATGAGTCATCTAAGAATTACGCTCTATCAAATGTACGTCTCTGGCGTTTTTTTGTCGCTTAGAAGACTTTTTACAAGTCTTATGGGTGCATTGACGTTTCTTTGATATAGGGTGACTGGCGTAAGACTTTACAGATTAAATTTGAGGAATGTAAATTTACTAACTGAACTAAACACTTTTGATTTTCTTATACGATATTTGTGAACTTGCACGCGACCTTCAACAGGTGTTTTACAGTCAAACGTATACCTGAGAGTTTAAACCTTGCGAGCATAACTACAGTCCTCGCATTTATCCAAGAAAATTCCTTACTAGGTACAAATACCTCCACGGACTGAATATTTAAAAAATCAAATTGTACAGAAATTATTTACGTTATGTTTCTCCCAGTTTTAATACTGCGGATTATTTTCACCATGAAAGGGAAGAAATAGCATGTCTTGTTGAATGTTGTGCAACATTTTACTTGACTTAGCTATGAGTTAACCTTGTCCGTTGATAAATGGTTTACAGGTTGCTTAATGTTGTGTCTCCATCTATTGTCAACTTTCTGGAAGATGTAGTACTAAAAAGATGCTACAAAAAATAACTAAACTCAAGTCCTTTGTGGGGGAAGGGGAGATTTTAAGAAATAATCTCTAAAGTGAATACTGCTAAAATGAGTAGCTGCTCAACCCACTCAACTGTGATGCAAAGAACGAAAATAAACTCCAAGGAAAATTCTAAATAACACCTAACTCGTGAATTTCGTTTTCTTTCTCCTCTCNCAGTAGCACGAGATCAACTTCAGTTGTGCAACATGTTGCCACAATTTGCAAAACATGCAGCAATGTACGCACAAGATTCTTGCGAGAAAAGTTGCAGAGAAAATACCGGCCTATCAAGTGGCCTTTACTGTTGACCCTAGACGTCTGAAGGTTGAAATGGTAGTTTCCAGGCCGTGCAGTAAACACCGTTGGCTTGGGCAGCGAATTCAAAAACTTATCACCTGATGACGATTTTGATGATCTGTTGAATCCTGGACTTACACTCGTTTGCACAGGTGTATTTTTTTTTACCGCTTTCGCCAATTTTTTTTTTTTTCCGCCTCCTTTTTCTGAATTTTCTGGATTCGCCTCTCCATATTACCCACTTACTCAAATTGCTTGTTATTTATTTATTTATTTATTTATTTATTTATTTATCTATGTATTCATTTACTTATCCATTACAATTAAATGGCACAATGACAAAAAAAGTAATAGGAAATGAGATGCTAAAAAGCAAGGAAGAATCAATAAAGAGAAAATGAATCAACCTAATAAGGATGAGGTATAAAGGAGTTGACCCCATACCAAGACAAATCACCTGAATAACTGAGAAATGTCATATGCGATTAGTAGTATGAACCTGGTAGAAGATTTACTGATAAAGGACGTTGGTCCATCAAGAAGTACACGGGTAGTCGCGTTTTCAGTTGACATGATACACATTTCTCTTGCCATTTTCCCGCTGATTTAAACTGCCCATGAGAATATATTTCTTTCCAAGGGTCTGGTTGGGGGTTATTTAGTAGCTGAGAATTGATCAAAATCAGCTAACTGTCAGTGGAAAAACAGGGCGTACATACACTGAAAAGTTTACTGATGCTCGCTGAAATAAATAAACAATAGCCTCCATTTGGCGCGAAAAAATAGATATCATACTTGTACTGTTATTTGGACGGTATTCGATGCAGTTGGATAATAAGGTTGGATATTTGTCGGACATTATCTGTTCCGAGAAGCGAACAGTTTTCCGAGAGCGTAGCTCGAGGAAAACTGTGAGCATATTTTCGCGACAAATGGAGGCTATTGTGTTTATTATCCTTCAAATATTTTTCGCAAAACGCGCGGTTTTGAAAATTGGGGAATATCCTCGGATATTCCCCAGTTTTAGCTGGGGAATATTCGGTCAAGTGACGCGATTAGACCAATCGCGCGCCAGCGAAAATATTTGATGGATTATAATTACAGATATGCGATATCTGTGATAGCTGAGAAATCCCACCAGCACAGAAATTCCAGTACCTCCACTACCCATTACCTCGCGTTACACTACCATGTCCAACAATGATTGGATATTTGTTTGAGTGGCAGCATTGATTCATCAAATAAAGACGAAGTACCAAAAGGAGCTGGAATGTATATTTTAAGGTTACGCATCCCTACTGCGCACGATTTTCGCGTCATTAGCGCGCGCGCATGAGCGCGTGCACATACAAACCAAGAGAAAATTTCTCTTGACACAACGTAAGAGATTTCCATCAAGCTAAGCTCAACAAATTCATTGCCTTTCCACTGAATGAGTAAAATAAAAATTTAACATTAGATAAAAAAATTACTGCCAAACATGTTTACTTACCCTTTTACTCGTGACCTGTGAACCTTACCACCCCTAGAGGACGCAAGCTAGAAAGACTTTTTGTCAACTCTGATCCAAGATGTACATTTTTCCCAAGAAACAGCTATCAAATTGTTCCTTTAAGACGATGCAATGTATCTATTGAGACTTTTTAATATTAACTCCATGTGTTTGGCCACTGATACCCCCAAACGGAGCGGCATTCAGTAAAAGAAAAACACACATAATGTCGGATTTTTGACGCACCTTTGACGAGTTATGACTCTTAAACGAGCACCGTACCATATGTTTTTTATCGCACATTTCGAATATCTACATCATTAGGAACAACCACAAAAAATTTGAAAAAAATTCTAACGTCAAGTGTTATTTCTAGGGAATCACCTTAGAGGTAATATCCGTCGCGCGACGATCACGCCACTCACGCCACTCTGTCACGCAAGTTTCGAAATTCAGCTGACCACAATCTGTGCCCACGGGCTCAGATTCTGGGATACTCTCTGGCAATTTTCCGGAAAAAAGTTAACTTCGAAACTACCTGAGTTATATATTCTTAAGTTTGCCTGTACAAGGATGCTTTATTCAAAGGACGAGATAACGTGAAAGCTCTAACGTGGTTTAGAGCTCAGACATGCATAATACACGTTCAAGATGATTAACAAGATTGCGGTTTTGGCGCTTGGTTTGGGTTTCATGTTTTATCGTCTCCATATTTACTGCATTGTTCGTGAAGAGAAAGAGGAATTACATTCTTGGTTGAAGGAATACAGTCTTCTGGATTATGAGGCTAAACTGCACAAATTCGGTATGTTTGATTTTTACTGTCCCCTCATAAATTTCTTTTCGGTAATAATTGTACAGTAGCTATGCAATTTTAAGCTTATATATTCTAAACGCGCGGTTGTACCGTACTTTGTCAATTGCTATACACCGATGTTTCGGAAATCGTATCCTTATTTCAAAAATCGTGATTACATATAAAGCGTAATTATTTAATTATATGCTTATCTATTTGGATACCTCGTGTATTTTGTGAAATATAAAGCAGATAAAATGTCGTAATATCTTGCAAGGATTGAGTGCTTGAGCTTACGTAAATATTTTTTTGGTTTTTAGAATCTTCTGGAACGCAAGTTAAATAAGCTTAATAAATTTCGTCTGTCAGTAAACAATGCTGTTCAATAATTTACGTGGTATTCTATTTCAACATAAATTTGTTTGCAGCAAATGACCCAAGCTTGTTCAGTGGTTGTGATTTTGAGTATGGCTATAACAAATTAGCATCTTGATATAACATCAACTTCTTGGAACTTCCATCAGAAGAAATATATGGTCATCATTAAGGAGAAAAACTATTTTGAGATTAGGACCATGAAAAGCTGGTGACTTAGTTATACAAATAATTATGATCATTCAGTCAGGGTTATGATTGGATCTTATCTTTCACTAATGTGATTCAGTTAATTCCAGTAGTGCTTAAATCTCCCCAGGCATCAGTACTTGGGGTTAGCACCCTTATTTGTAGTCCCTAGGGTTGGGTATTAGTACGCCCAATGCACTTGAGTGCATAACCTATTCCCTAAACATGTTTTCCTTTTCTAGGTGTTCTCTCCAAAACCAAGTTCGCGACTCTTGATGCTCAAAAGTTCCTAACCCGACATGGTTCCTTCTGGGGATTTTTCACGTTCAGTACAGAGAAGGAAAGGCTAGAATTGGCTGCACAGAGGGCCAAACATGAGCTTCAACTTCATTTCTTGCTTCAGGAACTTTCTTTGCATAGTTATTACACAAAACTGCTATCACAAGGAATATTCAGTGTGGAAAGTTTACATGAAAATCTGTACTCTGTTACGTTAAAGGAGATCTTTGAAGATGATGATTTGACAAAGCTTAGAGAAGCTGTTCAAAAGCGAGAGGATTATTTGTTCGAGGATTCTCTGGCTGTTAAAAGTGCAACAGCAATATTTTCCTTTTCGTGGTGGAGTATTCAGTTTATTGGTGAGTTCTTTGTTTGACTAAATCGTATTTAAAATATTAATATCAGTAGTAATAAAGCGTGTTCAAAATTGTGTAAAACTCAAGTCACAGCTTGTAGGTGCTGCTCTTTGTTACTGTACATAAAATATGGGTCCAGTTGCTTTTCTGTTGAGTCTGGTCTCTGTGATATACACTTTGGCCTTAAATTGGCAGAAAGAAAGTTGTGTATGTCTTAGAGTACAGACCTCAAACTCAGTTATAAATAAGATGCGTATATACAGCGTATGTACAGCCTGGCAAAGAACAAATCAAGCACTAGCAGTAGTAGCTCAAAACAAGCAGGCTGAAGCAGCTGGAATGCAGCAATGTAGTAGTCAGCCAGGGAATGAAGAGCACAGTCACCCAGAATTGAGACCTTATAGGCTTAATCAAGTGAGAATAAAGATTATGATCAGATGATGATGATGGTGATGATACATGTATATAAAGCCTGGTCATGGAACAAAAATCTCTCGGGTTTCCCCTTTCTCCTTTAATTTTGATTCTCTTTAATTGCACAGGCAAGATGTTTGTTCTCGTTATTGGCTCTATAGTAAGTGTCATAGTCATCTGTGCTGGAGTCTTCAGAATAAAAACCAAAAGCCGACAGCACCAGTCTTCATTCTTTCGATACGTGCTTGGTTTACCTTTGGAACCAAAGTTCACCAAAGTCACATGGGAATGGAAGGACCCTCATGTTGTCGGAGAATCAATGTCATTCTTTCTAAAGGTATTTTATTGGTGTATATGAACAAGTTTAATGTCTTGATAATAATTTATTATGAGAAAGCTCATGGAATTCTTTCTGTTTCAGTTTTACAGGATGAACAGCACTCCATACCCTGTATCTCCTGAGGATTACATTCTTGTTGAAATCATGCACAACAACACATTTATTAAGTCGTCGTGGGAATATGGTGGTGAAAAATGGGCACAAGGGAACATCATGAAAGTTTCTTTTACTGTTAGAGAAGCTGGAATTTACACAATTTCTGTTCTTGTACAGGGGACACTGATCACAGAGAGACCATTCACTAAAACATTTTTACCAGGTGCTATATCTAATAAGTATTATCATCTTATTTATTGTTTTGTACTGTAGTTGTTATAATAATTATTATTACTATTATCTCTTGCCGCACTATGAAGCATGGATACCATGATGCACAACTTTACGATAACCAGTATGTTTTTGTGTTAATAATGAATCTGAAATATGTTGGCTTCAGACTCCATACCCTGCCTTAATGTGGATTCTAAAAATGGTCTTGGCACATGATCATGGTCGTGTGGTTGTATTACTGACAGGTGCTGTGGATCCATCAAAGTGCAGCATTTTAGAGGGTGGATCATTACTAGAAGTTCAGCAAGGGATATATGCACCCCTAACTGTAGAGGCTCGTGACAAGTTTGGCAATATTTGCCCACTGTCTGTCCAAGATATTCACTCATATGGTGTTGAAGTAACAGAGGTAATAAATTTGAGCAAATCTTATTTTAGTTTAAACAGGTAACATGATCTAGTTTTTGATTGTTTATGGCTTTGTAGTATTATTTCGCTCCTTCTCAGTTCCTCCATACATGTTGTCAGTTTAGTTGGAGAAAAGTATAATTCTAATTTGATGGTAGATGAAACATGATTAAGCCACAGACTTGCTCCTGTTTTCTACAGTTTCTGCTGTTCCGCCTTGACTATTTGCTCTTATTATAAATCTTCTTTTGATCTTTCATGAATGCTGTTCTCTTATTGCAATTGGCTATGCTAGTCACTATCTACTCTTTTCTAATATGAACCTACCAGTGTTCCATCACAAATGCCGTTCTCTGATTGGCTACGCTACTCAATATCTACTCTGTTGTAGATAGTCAGTAGCTTAGTAGTGTGTGGTTGTTTTATTCTAAAACAAAATGGCGGCCACTTCTTTGTGTTTTTGAAGAGTTTTTGAAGAGGATTTTTATAAAATTATGAATGACTAGTCTAGATAATTTTACACTAAAATAATTATTAGATTCTTTGCTTTCGATTTCTATACTTGACAGCTGAATTGGGCTGCACCATTGTCAACTATCACGCAATAGAAATCTCAAGCTCATAATCTTATAAATAGAAAGAAACTTATCTCTTGTTTCGTAGAAAAGGACTACAGCCATGTAGCCGTTTCTGTGCATTATGTTCCTTTGATTCTATCCATTATTAATACTAAATAGTAATTATTATTAAAATGATAAGATATGTTATCAAACAATTATAGCAATTCACTTATTTTTTTGTCAGTGTGATTAAAATTAGGACTTGATCTGCCTCTTAAAGAAATTCATGCATTACAAGACAGAATTTTATTTTCCAGCCTGTAAGTGATTCTATGACTTCCTACTTAATGTTCACAATATTGCTAGTGCAGAAGTTGAAATTTTTTATTCTCTTTACAGATCAGTTCTGAGCAAATAATTACGCTGCCTATTTACTGATTTTCTTTATTCCTACCTTTTTTTGCTTGAGAATAATTATATTTAATTAACTTCATGTAGCTTGCATCATCATCATTACCATCGTCATGGTCATCTAACGGAATAGCTTTGCAGTCCTTTAGATTATTGTTTAACATTTTTTCAGATTGGAAGCAGTGCTAAGACAGATCCAGAGCTAGTGATTCTCCCAGATGGATTTGACAAGAACAATGTTCTTCACATAAAACTGGATAATGAAGGTTGTTTTAATGCAGTGGTCAGGTACAATGGAGTGCTGCTGAACCAAGGAGAGCTGACTGTTATCTCACTCAATTGTAAGTGTTTACTTCTGTGTTTGGGCTAATTTAAAATGCTTAACCCATTCCATTCCACAGTTGATTTGTTGATTTCAGAGTACTTCAAGGAAGAAAAAACAGTGAAAATTATGTCTAGAGACAAAACATTATAATTTTCGTAGCTGTGTGGTTGATTTTTAGATTTATAGCTTCATTTCAGCATTAAAATGTAATTGTTAACCACTTAAAAATGCGTTCAACTGATTTTACAGAAATTAATGCTGATCAATGCCCCTATTGGTTTTGTGCTGATGGACCTGGCCATATACAGAATGTATCATTTCATACCATTTACTCTCTCAGTAACA